GCGCGATTTACTTATATAATAAATTCAGTAATTGGTGATGAAATTTTGAAAGGTATGACAACTGATGTGAATTCAAACTTCTTCTGCAAAGAGTTATATGGTCGAGGAATTCTGCTGGTAGACATCGATCCAATCAAATTTGATGAAGTTTGGCCACCGCCATGGAGGATGAATAAATGAAATAATCTAAATCAGTTGTCGAAATTTCAGAAGAAACCAACACAAATTTGTCGTCGATGAATCCGCGATCATTTATGTGTACCGATTGCAATATTGGATTTCGAAAACATGGTATTCTTGCAAAACATTTGCGCTCCAAAACTCATGTTATGAAGTTGGAAAGTTTACGTATTATCCCAGAAGATTCTCTATCGCTAATAACACGTAGAGAAGGAGGCATATATTTGAACGAAATTGATACGACGGATTGTGAGCGTGCACGACAAAGCATCCTCGGTCAGTTATTTTGGTTTTATAGCTTCACTTTTAACAAGGACATTAACTTGGAATGTACTATTTGGGTTAAACTTAACCATCGCTTTGCAATTATTAAAATGTCTTTTATAAATTTCAAATAAGAAATAAGTTTTGGTAAGTTTCGCATAGGATCAAGTGCCGTTTGCTTTGCAATAGGAGAATTTTGAAGCACCATTGTTCAGATGATCTGACTCGATCAATAGTTTTTTAAGAGAAAAAGATTGAAGATTGTCACTTATTTTTGGATTCATCAATCAATTAGTTTTTAACTGTTAGCAAGTTAAAATCAGTGTTTACTCGGCTACTGTTATAGTATATTTTGTAAAAACTAAACATTTTGCAAGTGTAAAAATTGACTTTAAAAAAAAGAGAATTTCATGCAGAAGAAAACAATGCAGTACAGTTGTCAATCCACTGATTTGATTTTCAGGGATCATTTCCACATTACGTGATTCAAATGTGTTAGAATGTCGTGAGCAAATGTCGCATTTACCTGTGCCGCTACTACATATTAGCAATAATAATAGTCATAATAGCATCAATGTCAACTATTCGTCGCAACAGTTAAAGATACAACATTCTCCGGTACCATCCACTAGCCAATCCTTTGTTGAACATAAACGATTACTGGCTGGTCAGCAGCACATGTCAAAGCGTTCCGACGTCCTAGCAGCAAAAATGCAAGTATGTATTTCTCGTGTTAATTATAACGTGTAAGATTGACGTTGTAAAGGGCGAAGAGAAAAGTAGGGAAAAATATGTTGGATATTGGATAATCTTACTCATTTATAGCATTTTCTTTTCAAAGTAGTTTATTTCATCAAGCAAATATAGTGACATTTTAGATTGAAATGACACCCAGAAAATGCGATTTGACAATGTCGCAACGAAAAACAGACGAGCTGAATGGGAAGTCAATCTCTGCAAACATTTGGATGCCACCAAAACTTGATGTAAATTCGATAGTTATTTTGTACTTGTCATCATCTTTCTTATTAGATTTCAGAAGATATTTACAGCACGAATTTTGGGTGGTGGATGCACATTGATTAACAGAATCCGTTTTTCAGTATTATATTCATTCATTTTTCTCTGTCATTCATCATTTTTCATCAAACAGTCGCTAATTTTTGTGTGCATCCTTAACTTTTGGTTAAATAATTCGGATGAAGTCTCTAAAATTGTATTTGTTTGTTGTTATTTATGCTTTTTTAATAGTATGTTCTTATTATAATTCATAATTTTTTTCAGGTCTCTGATCGTCGCTCTGTTGATTTAATTGGTCGTTCTACAGTTGATTCCGCTGCTCTTTCGGATAACGGTAAGTTAATTGAGCTTAAAAAAATTTCAATATGTTAAATTAGTGTTGAACGTAGAACATTTTGATCATCGAATGCATTTTCAAATATTTTAGGATTATTCTAAAGCTTTGTATAATTCATGGATCGAATTATCGATTGATCTTATTTTATATATGATTTATTGACTGCGACATTTTTATGCATAGGTTCGTCTGTACGATCTGATGAAGCAAACAGTGAAGGAGCTGGACGTAGTGAAAGCTCGACACCAACACAACGTGTTTTGGCTGGTACTGCGCCATCACCCCTTTTGCCAACTTCTACCAGATGCAACCTTTGTGAGGTCAACTACGAATCCAGCTTTGATTTGCAGGTAGATCGCCTTAGTAGGCCAGCGCGCAATTGCTTTTTTAAGTAACTAAATTTTCAGTACCCATTTCAAGCGTTAAGATACATAACTGTTGAATTTTAGAAATCAACAATTTGAAATTGTGGAATTTTTAATAACGGATTGCGCAAATGTGATCTACTTGCAAAAATTACTTCTTAGAAACTGTGATTAATCTGTTGCTATCCCATATCGTGTGACATTTATTAAAAATATCTTTAGGTACATCTTCACGCTGATCATATAATGCTGCGGGATGGAAAAGATTTTTGTTGTCCAAAGAAACAGTGTGACAAGGTTTATCCAAGTCGTGAAAATCTTAGGCAGCATATAGCTGCACACTATCATGGCGGTGCTACTGCACCTTTGCCAGGTTTTAGTTTTTCATTGTCACTTTTAAAAAGAAAATGGACATTTTTTTTCGTCTGCTACAGAGTTTTGCATTGCTTGGATACATTGTGGCAATACATCATCAAGAGCTGAAAAATCTTTTTTTTTTTGTACTCGAAACAGTGGTAGATACTCAACAAAAATCAAAAGTGATATACCCTAAAAGTAATTCTCTTTCTTTCTTCCTTTTCCTATATATATTGCAGAATTCGGGTGGAAATTCAAATATTATTTTTTAAGATAGTCGTGATGAGATCGAGAGTGCAATCATGGTGTTGTCAGATGCAAATGATGCATCGGTAGTTTTGCACCGTAAATTAACAAATTCAACACCTGGACAGCACGCTAATTCAGTGCCGAATCATAGTCCGAATGCACCGGAAGAATCCCATACCGCCTGCCCAAAAACATCGACATCCAGTTCTTCTACGTTAATATTATCGATGGATTCTGGTGATACAAGCATTGGAACCGTCGTAACAAGGTTTATTGTTTCACATAAGCTCTGTAGAAATGTAGTTGTTTTATTGAAGCCCCTGTTAACTTATTATTATCATTGATAGAACTGAATAGTGTTAGAAAGATGAGACAGGAGAAAGACTGAGACAGAAAGAAGAAAGACACGAAAAAAGCTATTTTATAGACATAATTCATATTACTTTCAGTGCTTTAAAATTTCATTATATAAATATATTTTCTTACCTTCGAATAGATTTACAATCCATTATATCTCGTTATTTGCAGCAATGGATTGGTAAAACAACGTCAGCAAGCAAAGTTGAATGAAGTTGAAAAAGCTAACGGATGCAGTACTGTTGATGCAATTACTCAAGTAGTTTTAACATCATAATTTTTTTTCTCTTTATAGTTGCAATCGAAAAACATCATCTGATCCACATGTCCGACTCATGTGATGAGAAATACATCCTCAGAGTAGTAGTGGCATAGTGATTTGAGTATTTTGAGCGAAATCGGTTTTCATATTTCAAATTTAGGATCGAAAGAGGTCAGCGTCGACGCAATCAACCGTGGCTTCTGGATCATTTGTAAATGTTGGAACAGTATCGGCAGCTTTACCTTGTGCCATATGTGGACAATCATTCCCGGATGCATTTGCTCTGCAGCAACATTGGCTCTCACACGTATGCGACCGACCACATATTTGCAAACAATGTGATGCCGGTTTTACAACTGCTGACGCTCTGAACACTCATACGTTAACGCATCAAAACAATAGAGAACGGTAATGTATATGCATGGATGCATATATATATATATGTTGTTACAAAACGATGAGTAAAGCAAAAAGAATTGCTGAATATATCAAATTAAGGGATAGTACTCTCTAATTCATCTAATTACATCACATGTTACTCTCATTTCAGCTAATATTTTCTTATCATTCCAATATTTAACATTTTTTGAGAAATTGAACTTCTGTTTATTTCGAAATCCAAATATTTAGGATTTCTCACTATTCATGTGTAAACCGTTTGCAATGAAGAATGCTGGCAATAGTCCAGACCGTGGACTGTTATATATAAAACTTATAACTAGGCAATATATATATAAAATTATTCGCACTGAGTGGCATTCATTTTTCACCCTCTTCTAAAATTTAACTTTTTTTTTTATAACGAAGGTGATTGATTAATTAATACAGACGGGTTGTATGATTTATTCTTCAATGTTTCATTATAAATAGCTCTGGAACGATGAAGAATTACCAATAGTCTGGTAATTATTCAGTTGCAGAGCAGGAATAAAGCAAGTTCCCAAATAAAGCTGCCCTTGTTGCTCATGAAATCCGTTGCAGCAAGTTTGTTGTCTTTTTTTCTTTTCACTTTACTTTTTACGAATTTCATTAATTGTTTATTCATTTATAAGGTATTTGTAGATTGTCCTTCATTAGAATTTTTTATTTAACTCAAATATTTTCGCACCATTTCTTTTTCATCCTCGTCTTACCCACCGATCCTTAAGGACATTTTTAACATATCTCACAAGGTATTAGCTATTCCAGATATTTTCATATATATCCTATAATGCTAGACAAACCAGGAAATATGTATGAGTTATTGTATAGAATGGTGTATACTTTCATGTCTTAGAGCTGAACTTTTAGTTAAGCTGACTGAGTGACTAATTAACTGGTGAAGGTGGGTGAATAATCATGAATTGGCTGGAAAGTTTTGGTAATTGTTCCGCTACAATGCAAAAGTAAAGCATCAACAATACTGTAATTTTTTTGGAAGTGCCACATTTCTAAACCTTTTTATAGTTTAATTCCAATTATTCTTTCTTTGGATCATGTTTTTTGACACGGAATTATTGTACATTTCTGGCGACCGCTAATACATATATTTACATTTGAATGCTCATTTTCCTATTACGCGTTTTCATTTGCCGGTGTTTTCCCTATTCTATTTTTTCGCGTTTGTTTGTTTTCCGAAATTTTAAATTTATGTTATTAAGTTTTAATATAAGCCGTTTTTCTTGATCTCCGGAAGCTTTTCATCTTTTGGAGTTGGCTCACATTGGCATTTGGGAAATATTCATTCTCTTTCTCGATTCCAAGTAATATTAGTTCCCCACAAATTGCTTTTATTACTTTTAAAATCATATTTTCTCAAGTAAAACAATACTCGAAAGATGATGCTTAATATTTAGATGAGTCAGGACTCCCGTTTTCTTTTTCCGCTGACTGTTCCTATTAAGTGTGGTTACCACTATGTATCACAGAAAATGCATCGCGTTTAAAACAAGCATTGATTGTTCCGAGCACAAAATTGACTGACTTCAGGGATTATTTAAATTCTTTAACATTTTGAGTAAAAATATATTCCTCGCTGTGGCTGCTTCAAACTCTCCAAAAATGTTTATAAATGACTATGTAGGCAATTAATTTTATTTCATATTGTAAAGATTTCGTTTAACGCTGTTTATCGCATAAGTTTTGGCACTAGACGTTGCAACTGGAAGGTGAACATGAGATTGTTCACTATATGTTCACCTAGGCTAGTGAGTCAGAATCTTTTTTCAGGACGTCAATGTACTAAGAAGTAGGAAGTGGAGCATTATGAGTCCTGAAGATTTCACGGGGAAATTGTTTTATTTAAAAATGGATTTTTTGGTTTCTGAAATACAATTGAAAAGCGAAGCGTTTTTAAAATATTTTCTGTAAGTTTCGAATATCTTTGTTATTTATATACATGTGCACTTTGATTTTATTGAACACTTATTTCGGTCGGAAATTAAAAATTATTTAAAAACTTGATGCGTAATTGGTGCTGTCAGCATGCAAGATGCATCACTATACTTCAGAGCATGCACAATAACATATTCGGAGTTTTGATAACGATTCCAATAACGCGACGAAATTTATTTCACTTAATTATTTGGATTTTCCCCAAATTCGTTCCACCTAAATCACATTTCCGGAATCTCCGTGAAGTACTAGCTTGTGGAACCAAGAGAACTCAAACTATTCGTTCTCCGAGTTGCATGTTTTCTTTAGGAAATCTAAACACTTTCCGGAGTAGGAGCTAAGTACGATGCATGAAAGCAAACCAGAATGCAAAATTCCAATTCATTTGTCACATCAATTCATACGTAATTAATTAACTCCTTTATTCTCGGGTAGGATCATGCAGTCTTATACGGCATCTCGACAAGCTATGGGATTTCTACTTGTTAAAGTTTTGAGAGGGTGTTGCTGACTTTGTAATTTTAAATTAAGAAATTAAAATATTATGGATGATCCCTCTAACAATAAAGCAGAGCCTTAAATCGCGTTTTTCAAGCAACGGCTTTTTTGAAACAGATGAATTATTAATGTTTTACTTAGCACTGCTTGGATTTATCTAACCTCATTTCACAAACTGACTGAAGGAAGGTCTGACATTAATGACTGACATTGACGATGGCCCGTTGACTTGAATTGAGGAGGAAACACCATATCGTGGATCTGTATCGAAAGATCCTAGTCGTAGAATGAATAACGGTTCGAACTTTTCCAACTGTCGTTAGGACTGCGAACCTCAGTGTTGACTAAAAAAGTTCTTGTCCCCAGCAGTTCTTTTTGGAATTTTTTGTACAAAAATTTCCGCGAGGACTGATCAAATCTTTAATGCCTGAAGATATATCGGAACGGGATTGTGCTAAATGCAAATCATTAAGTTATTCCGTTTTGGAGCTCTGTCGAAATCAATCGAATTTGGCATTTTTGAAATAAAATTCTCAAAATCATGAACTTATTTCACTCCCAGGACAGTCGAAATGATATAATAGCGATTCACTTACAATAATATCATTGAAGGCATATTTCCCTTATTGGACTGATACTCGTCTCGGCATTAGAACTCATCTATTTCCCGTTGCGCCGACTTCTGCTTATCCATCCCTAAAGATTCCTTTATCTTAAGATACTTTCGTTTTAGCGCACGTAACTCTACTCAAAAAATAATAGCACTTAATTATATTCTAACGAAAGGATTGTCTCCAATTCCCCACAGAGAACCAAGAAATTTTAATAGATAAAATGGATGAATTTCTAATTTTACAACCAAGTGCTAATTCGGCAAATCCTCAGCAGATGAGGCATATTTGGCAAATAAGCTAATAGATACGAAATATTTGGATAGAAACGTGATACAGTGTTTAGCTAGGGGAGAAATATAAAACTATCTAACTTTGAAGATACCGTATAAAGATGTTAAATTCTTTTGGTGCTGATATTCGTACACTGGTCTCGTTTTCGACACAAGTTAAGGTTCAAAAACACTGTATGATATGTTCAAGAATGTCTATTGAAGTATTTGAAAGAAGGAATTAAAGCATTTGAATTCGGATTTCTTAAATATATCTGTTGAATATTGCCTCCATGCCACTTATCAGTCATTTCCATCGTCATCTCACATCTATTCGCATTAATTAAGATCTCCAAAAAACGGATGATGAATTGAAGGGAAAGGTAAAAACATATAAAATAACATACACGGAGAATAATATCAGTTAATAATTCTTACTGTTCCTAGAATTTTTTTTTCAACACTTCTTGAAAAATCAAGGAAAATGATAAAACTGAAAGAAAACTTAATACCGGCAAATGTGGAGCAATCTGAAAAGTGAGTCAATCACAACATTCGATAATTTTCATCATGCATATCTTTTTTGAGAAAGAGAAGAGAACACAGTAAAAACATTTAGAAAGATTCAAACGCTGATATATTGCCTAAGTTTCGAAAAAAAATTTCATTGGAATCAATGCTAGACTATTTCTTGTGACAGTGATCTTCGCCATGAAATTTCCCTAATTGTATAAGTTCGCCTTTGAGGCTATTTAAATTGAAAAGTGTTACGAGCTCAAATTCATTGCTTTGATTCGTGTATTGGTAGTTGAGTGGATTTGCAATACTAATATATGTCAATAAAAGTTGGGAAAGAATTAAAGAAAGAAGTATGATATCTGGAAAAAATTTAAAAGATCCCAAAAGAAAGCAAATATAAGAAGAAAACATCGGTAAATCAGGGTAGTAACTGACTTCAACCATATGGAATAGTGAAGGTATAGGAGCAAAAGCCAAAATGCCTCAACAAATAAACAACTGGATATTGAAGTACTTATGACGGTTGGATGGTGCTGTGAATCCATCGGAAATACGCCACTCTGGTAAAACTTTTCTAGTAATTCATCCTGAGAAAAAAACAGATATTTTAGAAAAGATGAAAATGCAAATGCTCTTTAGGAAAATAAAGGAAATGGCATATATGATGGAATTTCAATTGTAGTTTTTTTTTGTTTGTGAAAACTTACTTTTTCTTCATAGATGTCATACAACCAATGTCTCAGCATATTTTCGTCCTTCCACTCAGACTTTATTCGATAAACCTGCAGCTAGATATATTTCAAGCACTAGAAGAAGTTAATAAATTAAAGATAATTGTTTCATTTAAACATTATGAAAATTCGGTGAATGCATAAACATTATGTTTCTCAATCACCAGATTCTGTAATTGAAATTTCACAATTAATATTAATAGAATATATTGAAGGACTGAATATTTAAGAATTGGATATTAAACTAAGTACCATTTTTAAGGATGAATACCCTGTTAATATCCTATCTTCGGCTAATAAGTTACGAAATAAAGGTATACCATACTCTAAATGAAAAATTGAATGAATTATACCCTATTTACTTGGGAAGATTTCAAAGAAATTAAAACTGAAGTTAAAGGGAATGCTTTCCAGCATGAAATAATAAACAAAACTTACTTTGTAATAAATAGCAACATTTAGAAGTCCATTCGGTAATTCGCCGAGTAACCAGCTACCGATACTGGGTACATCTCCATTCTCATATCCCAAGGTACAATCAATAATGTATTCGAGTGAACTATTGATGTCCTCAATGGTTGCTGAAAAAGTATGATTCAAAGAAGGAGCTGTTATCCAGAATGAGTGAGAGAAATAGTATCTGAAAACAACTTAATTCTATGCAATTACCATCACTTGTTATTTCGATAGCAGCATGAGCAGCGCCAGTACGTGGTAGTGCGCAGTGCCGAAAGATCTTATAACCTTTGCGAGCTGCGTATCGAGCATTACTTTCTTTAATCCGATATAGTCTTGCTCCTAGAAATAAACTGATAAGTTTCATCCAAATATAGAAGTCTTTTGATAATACAAAACTATGATGTGAACTACGTCAATATCGGCGGTTCAATAATAACGAACAAGTAAAAAAACTTATTTTACTTATAATAAGACCAATTTTTTGATCAATACAAACTAATTGAATATAATGAAAATTGAATAAAGTTCCAATGAATTTCAACAACAATTATTCGTCTTGTTGCTTCAAACATCACTTTTTGAACTGATCCAATTCACTGATCAATAAATCAGGAAACCGGTCACATTACAAAATTTCTTCTAAACAGGCTATCAAAAAGTAAAATGTGGTATTACCCTCCGGGTACATAATAATCCATCGATGATCATATTTCCAATAATTCCTTTTCAAATGCGTTTTGAAATCCTCTATCATTTGGTTTCGTTTTGCAGCACCACCGTCAACAAAATAATTACCGTGGATAATCCACATAACACCCAGTGGTGTCATTTTCCATATATTATATATTACCCAAAGGTACTAAAGTAATCGGAATACAACAATAATAAACTAACATTTATCAAAAAATTTAAATTCTTTGAATTTCTAGCTAATGCAATTTTCCGCGAGAGAAACAATATATTTAAGTAATTCTCTTAACCAGAAGTAGACTAATAATGCAAAAAAAACTTGCTTTAAAAATACTTCAATTGGACATATGCACCTTTTCAACAACAGCTCCTTTGTTTCGTAATGCTGACATAATCACGAAATGATCAGCAAGACCCAAATGATTTGAAAGAAATAAAACTCGTTTTTCGGAGAGCTACAAAATCTTGATCCATCTTCCTTTTCAAATTATTAAATTAAATTTAATTTATGCTAGATAATCACTAATCAACGATGAAATCTGAAGTAGCGACCCCATGACGCTCACTGCAATTACCTACGAAGACAATAAGGTCGTGACAGAAAAATGTACCAACTACCACAGAGTGGTCAAAAAACTTGTCGAGATGCTTAGGAATTTTTGGATCTATAAGATAAAAGAAACCTTTGAAATATCGTCACCATACTCCACAATATTAATACCTGCAATTTGTACAGCCGAACTCCAATGATCGTTTACCATACGGCAAAGCTTATGATCAAGCCAGTTAAACCATGAGACACTGGAATGGTTGCCGGAAAATGAGAAAGTTAGCAATTATTAGAGTTTACACTTCTCTATCATGTCATGCAGTTAGCTGTGATGGAGCAGACCAACCTGACACAAAGAGCAGGTACCATAACGGTAAGGAACGTTGCGGCAATAATACCCGGAACAACAAAAACAGTCATAATAGTCCAGTATAATGCACCAATGAGGGCAATAACTTTTCTAACATCCATCGAACTGATTATCACTTTTGCTAAGAAGCCATCTTCCGCTGTAACAGTTGGCCCATCCAAACCAATTTGGGCGTCACCTGTTTGCATCATTTCTCTAGCCTGAACTTATTTACCATTATCAACTAATCAGACGGATTACCACAACCTCCGCTATTTAATCTAGCTATCAGTATATTTTCAGTCTAATTCTCCCACAAAATAATATACGCGTGTCACAAATGTAATAAGCGCTACCACAATGAGTAACATTGTATTAATTGAGGTCATTCTAATACACCAAATGAAATATCGGCTGGATATACATCGTGATGATTATATATTGAAGCTTCTTCTATGATATTCTTCATTACTATTCCGCATATTAGGACATCCGAATAACATCCGAATGCATTTTTGGCATAACATTTTTAATAAACATGAATAGTTGGAAATGGTGGACTGCTGTATGAATCTCATATTAATAAGTACACAAAACTCTTGTCAAACTTACCGATGAAGATATAAATCATTCATGAAAAAATTGCACTTATCACTCCACTGACAACAAGATGAGAATTGGAAACTGTAGACGATGATTACAAATAAGTGATTTGCAAACAACATATTTCATGCGATAAAAAAAGAAATGGAGACCTGCTTTCGATTCAGAAAGACATAAAAATGAAGCGAATTTCTCCCACAACAAATTCGTTTTTAGTATAAACAAAAAGAATGGAATGATATAAATCGGAAAGGTAAAAGGAATGAAAGGAAATATGTATGAAATGACGTAACATTTAACAGAATGTTTCAAATTTATCTTGAAATGCTTCACAAACGAATACAATCGATTTAACATTACACAACACGGCCAGCACTGAAAATATATGACCGAAAAAGGTTTCTCCAATTGACTGATGAATATACTAAAGGTTTGGTATCATTTAACAAATTGATTTTAATTTAAAAGTATCAACTGCGTTGATTTAAAAAGAGTTCATTCCTAACAATGAATGAAATGAAGAATAGATATTAGAGCAAATGAAGTAAGCAACATTCAAATAGAGAGGAATTTGAGGAAAAGAGAGAAAAGGCCCTAGACAGGATAGGATAAGGTCGAAAAAGGTATGTATATCAGTGACAGCTACCCCTTGCTACTGCTATTATTCTATCTTTCCTTCTTTATCCTCCTATAATTAGTTTATTCATTTACGATATCGCTGACACTATTGATAAACTGTAATATCGATATCACGTCATCTTTCTCTCACTCTGCTTTTAGTATTGCAGACAACATCTCCATCAAGTTTCAAAAGTTACGTCATTGATTGAAAGGAGAAGATGAAAGCGAATGTTAGTAGATAAGCAATAGATGAAAGGAGAAGTTTGTTGACACAAATTATCACTGATAATAGATAAGGTAAAATAGATACGTGCATTTTATCTTTTTCTCCTCCCATATACGAGAAGGGCATTTTAATAATTTATAATCAGAAATCGGTCACACGCACACATTCCCCTTCAAGTTGCCAAAAACTTGTTATTCTTTCAACTTTTTCAAAAAGAATAGTTTGATGAATATATTTTGATTGTCTACTCATTGTCACCTATCACAATTTGATGTATTAGAAAGACCAAGAAATGATTCATTCACCAACAAATCAATATAGTTAGTTAATGAGAGAAATGGATGTGGTAGCAAATATCTGTAAATGAGAAAACCTAATCATTGCTCATATGGTAAATATTTGTTTCGTCCACTGGATCTCAACGAATTATTCGTTTATATTATGTGAAAATAAACTAACAATAATGACACAAAATATTAGGCACAGCGAAACTGTCTCACCGGTCGGTTATGAGAGGAAAGTTGGTGAACTGAAAGCAATACAGCGCTATTGCCAATAAATTAGCCAATGTGAAATCATTTTACACTGTACAACGGTTGGTAGTTTTGTATATTTACGTATTTCGTTGGGTTAATTAAAAACGTCCGGTTAAGTCCAAAACATTTCCAGTCGGATTGATGCGAATCATCAGTTATATACTAAGATATTTTCGGAAATGGTACCAAACAGATGACTTTCACTTTCCTTTACTCTACACTTTATTTCACAGTTTACGCTCACTTTGAATTCACCATTTGCTATCGTAATCTGAAAACGTATTCTGTCTATACTGAGTAGTTAAGTTCACCGATAACTATTATAGAAAGTACCTATTAAAGTTTCAGAAATAAATTTTATACACTCAAACCATATTGAGACTATGCTGCTTACGTCGGATTATTTCATTAAGATATCATCGAACAAGGAAGGATATTACTTTGAACACACATTGAACAGAGAAAAATTTGATCGGGGAGAGAAGATGTCGTATGTATTGATTGTGTACTGTTATCGATTAAGGTATGAAATTGAATGGATGGATATATGGAACTGAAAGTTTGGAAAATAAATTTTCTGAATTCAACTGAAATAAGAGTTGAATTTTAAATAACAGTTAGAAGCAAATGAAAATGTTTAATTTGATATTAAATGAAGAAATTTTTAAAAGATTTATTCCAAGTTTTGAGGAAAAAAAACAAGACAGTTGCCTCTTCTTCCTACAAACCAAACATTTATTTCAAGCAAATAAATATAAAACATTACAAGTACACTTTTCTTCTTCACTAAAACTATTTGTTGAAAAAATGAAAATGTTTTAAGCATTATTACTATTCTTCGGCCACTTCGCTTGATATCTCTTCTCATCCCAATACGATACGACTGAATACTGAATATGGACCGGTCTACAACAAAATCACGGTTCCAGAGATGAAATTTCATAATCCTTGCATTGCTTCAATAGTGTTTTGTTTTTGCCTGAACTTTTGTTAATCGGAGTCTTCTCCCCGGTGATTTTGATTTTATTAAGTTTGAAGGGAAAATTCAGAGATACTTAACTGATAACATTATGAGTAGCATCTTTAAAAAACCAATATTAATCTTATCTTGTTGCTCATAAAGGTCCGCAACTTACAGTTAAAAGTAGTACCAAATATTGCTCCAACGAGAGATTCAAAGAGAGATGACAAGTTGTTAAAGATTGGGGACACAATCCATTGATTAGAAGTGGGGAAAAGGAAGGAACATAACTGCTCGTATCCATAACAATTGACTTATTGTTAAGTAAAGCAAGAATGAAGTACATTTGAATTCATGTTTGAAATGGAATAAACAAAATGAAATGAACAATGTGATCCGATATAAGAAGTGAAAATGGAATTTTTCACGAGAGAGATTAAAGGACAGAAACGTACAACACTGATTGAGGGCAGAATAGTTAAGCTTGAATTGGATCAATCGTTATTGGCCAGGAGCAAAGGAAGGCTATAAATATAATTTGCCGCTCTAACTTATCATCCGTGCGGCTTAACGCTGAAATAAACAATATGGAAGGCCTATTTTCACAAGCACTCGTTTTTTTTCAATGACTCAACCGGTCATCCTAGCGGATAATGAACAGTTCGAGTAATATGGCATCTTTCATTTTTTGATTACACTTTAGAAGGAAGAAACGATATCTAAAAACACATAAAATGAATGCAAGTACATTCACGTGGCTTACGCGTTACTATAAAAACGGTACAGAGCCATATATCTGAGTATGGTAGCAAATAAGGCTCTCTCTCTCATTGTTGAGTTCGTTGCAGATGATAGGTAAGGTATGAAGAAAAGAAGTGAAAGGAGATGGAAATAGAAGTTGCTATTTGCTAATTAGAGAAATAGAAGTTGCTTAACGGATACTTTTTACTTTCCTCATTAGTAAACAGGAAATTTTGATAAATGGAAGTGCCAGGTTGAGAATGAAATAAATGATAAATATTACAAATCTTTGTGG